GTTGCATGCGGCCCATAGTGCAGGCCGGGCGGTGACCCACCCACTGCCATCGTGGATTCGATGGAGTACAGTTCGAATGGCAAATGGTTGGCCCATTAAATGGCAAACGGAAGCGCCGCCCCCTGCCAGCGACCATGCCCCCGGGGGTGGGGGCCGGGGGCTAACTTTGAATGCATTTGAATTGAATCCTCTGTAACGAACATTCCGTAATTTGCCTTTGACATGCGAGCATGAAAAAGCGTCACAACTTTTGCCTCGGCATGGCAGTCGCACATGTAATACAAATGTAAATCAGTTTGTCAGGCCTGCTGCTCGCTCGCCTCTACCCTCCAACCTCCTCTTGCCGCTCGGGTTCAATATACCCGCGGGCGATAAGCTTTAGTTGCTTCTCAAACATTATGCAATTCTACAGCCGTTGCCCAATCGACCGACCCCTCTCCACCCAGAGCGTTCCAAAGGCACGCACGCTTATCAGCTCAGTGCACAGTTCATTTGCGAACAGCTGCTTCGCAATCACGATCGCAGCTTAAGCCTTGGCTCGAACCCCAGCAGCATGTCGCACGAAACGCTGATTCCTGATAACCAACTCAAGGCGCTAAATCGTCTTGTGCGTGCAAGCACAAGTGCTGCCCAGTGGAGCTCTACTAAGAGCGAGAAGCGTTCGCTTTTAGAGAAGTTAAAAACTCATTTATGCGAATGTTTTTTCTTTAAGTGTGACGATTTAAGTGTGACGATCTTGAGTTTTTCATAAGAAAACTTCCTAAAACTTTTTCTATCTATTGATCTTAACTTTTTTTTTTATTAGGATAATCTCTTAAAGCAATTAGTTTAGGGATATATTTAATTATCATTTATTATTATTATCATTTATTATTATTATCATTTATTATTATTTTACAAAGTATTTTTGTTGCTGCAATTATAAAAGTGCCTGTCAAATCTTGACAGTCAGAAAGAAGAAAACTGACAGCTAAATTTAAATATATCCATATATAAATATAAAGTTCTATTTTATGCCAATATTTAAGATTAATATATGGCCATGATACATTATAATACAATGCTAATATAATTATAAGTTTAAATTATGAAAGTAAATGTGAAATATTGACAGTCGGAATCAAATTTGACTTATAGAAAATAAAAAAAAATAAAAAAAAATTAAACAAAGATTACTGTATTGAATTTAAATGATTAAATTCCAACTATTACAATATAATCACTCATACTATATATACCACAGTGTAATCGCATTCTAAATAGCTGACAGATTCATCTGTTCATCTGGAAGCAGTCCGAATTATTGGATTGTATTGTATGAGTGTCTATAGTGGTCAATTAATTTTCAGGCAGACTCTTTTCATTTCGCACATTGCACGTGAAGCAGAGATGTCTGCAGATTGCTGGCTACTTATCCATATCACCTGTGATTTGCTGGGCAAACACTTGAGAACGGAAGTTAATTGCCAGTGAAGTGCTCTGCAGGCATTTTGTTTTTGTGCGCTTTCATTGGCTGGAAATTAATTAAAAATCGACTTGAGTAATTCAATTAACCAGTTTACACAATTCGCCATTGGGCAGTGGGCGTGGCCATTGATGACAACATCGTCATCGTCATCATCGTCATCATCATCAACGGCGTTTGGCAACGTCATTAATCTAATCAGCATTACAAGAGCCGTGTCATTCCTGATAAGCCGCAAGGCGAAGCGAAAATCAAAGTCAAATCCGTAAACCGAATCTGAATCCGAATCCGTAATCGAATTCGAATTCTCTTTGATGACGCATATAACTCAGGCAACTGATTAAATATTAACTATATTAATGCGGCAAATTGTCTATAATAAGGTCGTGACAAAGACAAAGTGCCGTTTGACAGAATACTGAATAAGCGCATGGGAATAATGGGAAATCGTGCCTTGGCATTAATTATGAGCAGAAGCCTGTCATCAGAGAGAAGAAAAGTAGCTGCAGTTGCTGATTCGAGGGAGAGAGAGAGAGTGCAGTTAGAAGGAGAGAAATGCGGACAGAGATTAGAGCATCTAGTATCTTAGTATTGATTTAAATGTCAAGGCGACAGCTCTCCCAATAATAATTTAATGTTAATTTCTTAATACTTTTAAGCACATTCAAACTTCAAATCTTCTAAAAATTCCCTGATGCAATCATCGACCACTCATTGCATCAGCCAATTATTTTGAAGACATCAATTAAAAATGCATTAAAATTATGCCAGCAAAAATTCGCTTAGAAACAGTATTAAAAATTAAACACCTACTTTTAAGCTAATAAAAAAACTAATAAAATAAGGTGAAAATGATTTCGAGCATTAGATTAGATTAGCGAGCATAAGAAGTAGTTATGGAATATTTATAATGGGTGCATGAAATTAATGTGGCTTGTGTCTACATACATATGTATAGAATTTTTTCACAAAAGCTATTAATTAAAATTAAAAAAAAAAAAAACAAATTATATTATTTCGTAAATATCTTTCCAAGATAATTGATTTATCTTGCCCAGATAACTGAATTCATATCTTTTAATTATTTATCATGTTAAACAATACTTTAACAATATTTTAAGATGTTTTAATAAATATAAAAATAAAACCTAAAAATTTAAAAAATTCTTTAAACAAATATACATGTTTTTTAGAAATAAAAATTGTAGACAAATGTTAAAATAGTATTTAAGATATCATATTTCCTTGATTTTAGTATTTTAAATGAATAGAATTGGGATTTACTTGCCAGAGAAATTTATTGAAACTTACAATAATGTATTCTTATTTAAATTAATATTAGTCCGAATATAATAAAAACTCATTAAGTTTTGTTGAACAATTTTGAGCCAGCTAAAAAATGCAAAGCAATAAAGCTCCAAGTGTGACGAAATGTAGAATTCTAGAAATTTACAATCACTTATATGTAATATATATGTACATATATCTATATAAGTTATATATCTTGCTCCTCACTCAAAATCATTTGGTAAACGAATTAAACGGTAATAAGTATGCCAAATAAAAAAAAAAAACATGCAAAGTGCTTATCAGATAGTTGATAAGATAGGCTAGAGCACCATTAGTTCGGTAAAAAAACAATACGATTTGGAAGTTCTAGGTAGTCGAGGTATCTCGAAGAGATACGAAACATGGCAACGCAATGTGAAGTGAAAGGCGTGAAGCAACGGTAATGGAAATCCAAATAGGGACTGGCCTGGTTAGTATTTACAGAGTGTACCTAGTATATGTCATACAGGAGTACATATATATGTATGTATGTATGTATGCATATGTGAAAGACATATGTACACAGTGTGTACTATAGACTTTTGCTTGATAACAACTTTCGTCTGATTAGATTGCACAAATACTCACACACACACACATACGAGAGCGAAATGGAGCCGACAACACAAATACGCCAAAAGACTTAATTAGGCTAACAAACAAGTCGAATTGCCAAATTGGGTCGTAATCTGAGCTAAAGTCAAGAAGGTATACATGTGAGCAAAGAAGTTACGCGTAGGCGATACGGGAGCCAGAGCCAGTGCTCTTTGGGAGGGGGTGTTCAGTGGGGGGACGGTCCTTGGGTGGGTCCAAGTGCTGCCTGTCCGTAACAGAAGCAGCGGCTCTCGAGTGTTTGCTTTGAACGTCTCAAGTAGGCGCTGAGCACTTGGACTCTGAACTGACCAGAGAGTACAAATCTAACACATAGATTAAATATATATATAAGTTACTTGTATGTACTTGATGATATACGACTTGTAATGGCGCTTGAGTCCATATATGGAATATTGCAATAGCACTTAAGCTTCTTGTACGATTTTAGGTTGCGGGGCAACTACGTTGCGGACTTCTTGTAATACTCTGAATCCCCTTTTATAGACTAGTGTTAGTCATGAACTTTGTGTTTCCCTACCTTTGATCCATAATATATATTTTGATTGTACGGATAAGTGAATATCAGTTAAGATCAATGTAAAATTTATATGATTTTCAATACTTTGAGTTCTTTGAGATATTTTGACCTTACACATATGTGTTCGAAAATCGTATAGGATTCTTCATATTATATAATAATGTTGTTTTATATATAGCCAATGCGCTGTATCGTTTGTGCTTTGTTCTCGCTTCGCAGTTCCCGTGTAACTTCTGCGCAGTACAAAAAGATAAGAGAACTTCGAGCGGCCTCAAGGCGGCCCCGAAAGACTCCATGTGGGGGGCACTGACAGACCCTCTTGCCCTCTTGCCCAACCCCCTCTCTACACAAGGGCAACTCACTTGGCATTTAAAACGAATTAATGCACAAACAAACAGCAACAAGACGTAAACAACAAATTAAGCGGAGAGCTGATAACAGTTCGAATATTGGAATACATTCGAAGATAGTTGGTTGGCATACAGGTGATAAGAATTTAAATACAAATTTATTACACATACATAAAAGAAAAATTGAAATTGTATAAATTAATATTGGAAAACTCATTTCCAATCCAAGCGAATTTCAAATACTTTGTCGATGCTTTCATATTAGTTTATATTAGTTAATTCAGTTGCATAGAAATTAAACTAAACTTGAACTTTTTGACCAAGTGAAAATGTCAACCCAACAAAATATTTATAAATTTATCTACATAACTTCAAGGACTTATTATTATTTGATTTTAACCAAAATTAAATTTTACAATTTAAATTATAGTATGCCCCCGTCGAAATGTAGACAACTAAAAAATAAATGACCAAGTGTTTTCAAGTAAACAAACATCGTAAATTTATGAGTTTTGTTTTCGAATAACTATTCACAGTTATTTGGTTATTTGTGCTAAGCGTTGGCAATCAATTAGCCATGCTTAATGCTTACTAACTAAATGGGTTCTAGCACAGTTTTTTCTTTTTTTAGAAAAGTCCAATGTCTATTATTATTGTTTTGCTATTGTCGATCTACAATTCAAATGGTGCACTTGCTATGTGAAGTCCAACGACTTTTGCTCACCTTTTCGAGACATTCTTGGCCGAGGGCTTTGGGATCTAATTTGACGGCCCGCTGGGTGCCGTCTGGCAGGTCCACAATACACCACATGGTTGATATTTTGACTCCTTTTTGTTTTTGGTTTCGGATCGAAGACAAAAGTAAAAGCGATTGGCTTTTTTTTCTATCTTTCTCTCCCTCTCTGTTTTGCTCTTTTTTTACTTTTTTGCTTTTTGCGCTTCCGCGTTACGAAAACACAAAACTCAATTCAATTTCAAGTCCGTTAACGTATAAGGCGCCAGCTGCTCTGCTGCTGTTAGCGTCGCAGTTGACGTCGCTGCCGGAGCTACAGGTTGCGTTCGCCTTGGCTGTTGGCAAAGTTGGCCTTTCGTTGAAGTGGGAAATCCAGCTTCTGTTTTTGTTCTGTTTGGAATTTCAGTTTTTTTGCTGTTTTTAAAGCTGCACACTTAATTTGTTAAAGTTATTTAACACATTGGAATTTAGCGAGCATTTTAAGCGGCACCGCACGCCGTCTTTTCACTTTTGTTTTATTTTCTCTTCCCTGTACCTTTGTAGCAGTATATACAAAAATATATATCTATATATTAAAATCTTTTCGCTTTGTTTTTTGTTGCTATTTTTGTTAAACACGATTTTTGATTTTTGTTTGATTGTTTTTTTCTTTTTGGCAGACGCCGTTCCCGCTGACGTCGATTTCAATGCAGAGCTGTTTGTTGATTTCCGTCCGTTCAACGCAAAGTTCCCGATACAATTGAATTCTAGTTGGAGGCGAAGCCAAGGCAACAGTATTTAAGAGCCAGCCAGCGCTGTTAAGGTTAACAGACTGCGCTGCTCTTAAACGGTGCTGTGCTCAATTCAGCTGCTAACAGCTTTGTCCACTGTTAAACGTCCACAATTCGCACCTCTTGCTGTCCGCTCTTTACATGTTAGCTGCGTAAGGTAAGTTAACAGTGCACGCTCTCACTCTCTATCTAGTGATTGACACTGCTGCTGCTTAGCTGCTAAGCTGCTGTTGGTGTTGGTACTCTCTCTCTCTCTTCTTCTTGTGCTTGTAATCTCAGCTGCGGGGGAGTGGCAGCTGTTCGGTGTACCATTCCATTCAATTGCCCTGCACAGCTGTTGCTTTTGCTGTTGTACAGCTTCTCTTTTGTTATCTGATTTTCCACTCCATTGCCGACAGCCCAACTCATGCAGGTAAACTGTTTGAACTGTTCAACAGTTTGAATTAGCAATCGCTCGTTCGGCTCTTTCTCCGTCTGTCTGTTTGCCTCTGTTTCGCATGTGAATACAAGAAATGCGCGCATGTGCAGCCCAGCTGCCTCTGGCTCGAAATGCCATTAGGGCATTTGTATTTTACGCATCTTTGTTTACTTCCGACCTGCACAATACGAAAGATAATGAACTTCTTTTTCATTTAATACCAGGCAACTTAATGGGAAACTGGATACATGTTGGTGTGTATTTCAGTTGAAAAAGGATAAACAGGGTATGTATGTATGTATGATGTATATATAAACGTGTGTACATATGTGTGATATAACGTACATACATATATTAAAAAACTGAATCAAAGGTTGAATTCAAATTGCTTTGATAACACGCTGTCGCCAGATCATTATAGTATAAAAATACTTGATGGGGATTAATCATCGAACCAATTTAGTCTTATGTGACTACTCAGCTGTCCATCTGCATGCGCCTGCTTGTCTGACTATCTGTAAGCTTATTATACTATGATAAATATTTGTATTTCCTTGAATTCTTGAACTATCCATATCAGCCATAAATTTGTTTGGACATATCTAAGGCATTTTTATTGATTGAGTCATCAAATTTAACATATAGAGTCGCTTTAAAAGATAACGATAACTAAATTGAATACCTACTTTATATAAATGTAACTAATTAACTAAAGACCTGGTGTAAAACTATTTTGGAAAAGCTGTTGGAATTAAGAAAATGATAGTCTATATGATATTATGTCGTCGTAAACAAAAATTAATAAACAATTTAATTTTATTGAGTGAACTGTATAATAATAGTTTATTTGAATCAATTGTTTTCAGTAAAGAGAAACATAATTAACGATCTTTGTAATTTATTTGAATATTATGAACAGTTGTGCACTGGCACAGTTTCGAATTGTCGATTGATTTCGTGCTTCTATTATAATTGATAACAAGTTTTTTTTGTAGTAAAGTATAATTGCTTTCGGTTTCTATGCAACGGACTCAACTCCAACATATATAATAAGTGGAGCGCAATAATGTAGAATTTACTGATGCGGGTATCTCACACACTCAATAGATAGAACACAGAGGAGCTTTCGTAATCTCGCAGCGCATGGCATTATTGCAATTTGACATACTTTGTCAATTGTCAGTTCTATTTCGGATTGAATTTTCTTTATTTTTACTTTTTTTTATTGGTATTTATGTGCTGTTCTTCAAGAACCTTCGTATTTTTAAATCGCATTGAAGCATTGAAGTGGCCCTGGCACAGTTTTAACAAACTGGCATTATTATTCCATTGACAAGAAGTGACCTCCGCTTACACGGAAGGTGCATTGAGTGTGCGACCCATTGAGGGTATTCCAAATCAATAATATCAATATGTAACGGCTCAACTAGCTTTCAAAGAGCTTTTCTAAAATATCGTTGGTTCGTGCACAGAATAGGAAAAAAGCTCAGCACAGGTAAGCTTATTGCAAACTTGAAACTTTCGAAATAAACATACGCGTATATAAATAAATATATACTACATCGGAAACAACAAAAGCAAAGGTAAATATATAATATGTGTATGAGTAAAATATTAACTTTTTTCTATATTATTCCCAAATGATTTAAATTCCGTGCAGCATGAATCAGCATGGACTTTGAGCCCAAGAAACCATAAATTTGTTCCCAAAAGTCATGCAAAATATATATGAAATTTTAATGACAATAAAATATTAATATTTATGTGTGTCAATATACTTTACGAATGGCTTTTAGCAGGCTCAATTAAAAGCTAAAAATAAAATTCAAAGACAATAACAAATGATTATAAGTATAGTATTTTTAGATTCCAACTGAAAAAAAAAATTATAATGTAGTTTAAGAGAACTTCAAAATGTACATTTATTCTACAGTAGATTGTGAAAACAGTTAAGAGGACGCAAAATTTACACATAAATTCTGTTTAAATTAAATTTAAATTAAAGTTTTTTATAAGATTTTGTGATGCTATTTATTTTCATGGAATATGAGAATATTGTTTCCTAAGTTAGTAAAAAGGTATTATAATATATGTATGCATCTAAATATAAATTTCTGCATATATGGATATTAAACATGCAAAAGAAAATAATTTATTTAAGCCCATCAAATATAATACTTCATATTTTATTTTCGGCTGCTTGACTGCCATTATAATTATCTTTAAAAAGTCCAAGCCAAACTGCTAATTCCTAAATCTATAGACTTTATATATATGATAAACCACGCTTCGCTTTAATTTAGATATTTAGAATAATATGATATACTATATGGAAAGCCAGAAAAGTCTACTTTAGTACGTTTCACACATAATTACAGAAATCTAAGGGGTTCGCATACAAAATTAGACTTTTCTGGAAGCCATATAGATATAAAGCGCATCTATTTTTTAATAAAACAGACTTGGTTTTATTTTTCATGTACTGATCTGTTGTATAAACATCTTGGCTTGAATTATCAAGCATAATTCGAAAACAATAAGAGCTGGACATATTTAAATACATATGAGCTCGATTATCTAAATAACCCTCTAAATATATCCTATAATAAGTGTAATAACATATCCTATTTAAACCATCCTATGTAAATCAAGACACTCTACGTTCTAATTGCAAATATATATCAAATATATGCACATACAAAATTCTACACTCGATTTCTAAGATCGAAAACGCAAAGTTGAACAAATTATTAAGAAATGTATATATTTTGTTTATGCTTTTCTTTTGTTCTGTTGAGTGAGATCAAGGATTGCCGTTGCCGATGTCGATGATTCAAGTGTGTTTTTAGTAGAAAAATCATTAACCTTCAGTGCAGACACATTAATATGGAGATTAGATGATTTATGATTTATATTGTGCTTATCAAGGGACGTGGGCGATTTTTTGAGACGCAAAAACAATTGCAGACATCGTATCACATATGCGATCGGAATTGCGGATCTCAAGTGGGGCACGCATCCGTCTAATAATACTTTTGCTGATACTGATCGCTAGACAAATCGAGAATGTTTTTATATGTGTGTGTAGACATATAAAGAGAAAGTTAATTGCACTTTCACTGTGATCCTAAGATAAACGATAGTTTTTTAGCCATATGTTCGAGATCCTAAGATAACCGATAGCAGAGTTTTTGCCTTGATCGAACCAGAATATATAATTCGGGTGATGAAATTACTCATGCGAAGCCAGACAAACAACAACGAGGCGACCCCAGTAAACTCGGACTGATAATAAACTGAAGCGGAGTAAACACTCTACATATAGAGGTATTTATAACCCCAGACGCGCCATAATAATAATAATAATTCTCTAAATATACATATGCTTAAGCGTTTCCGTATCTCAATCGTTGGCTAGCAACAATTGGCAACTATACGAGAGATCCATTTGAATTGATACACCTGATTAGCCATAGACATAATTATTGATATTCCGAATTGACACAGATTTGCGTTTGTTTGTATTTGGTGATCTCCTGCCCTAACCCAATTAATATTGGGAACAACATGGGAACAGGTTTCGAATGAACTAATTAAAATGACTTGTCCGTTAGCCCCGACAGCCTAATCTGACCGTTTATCAGTCGCTCAAAGTTCATTGTCAAGGGTGGCCGATGCATTGCTATTGATTGCCATATAAACAAGTTTTATTTAGCTTTAATCTGCGACTTGAAGGGCTGTCAGATTGGGCCAAATTATGATTTCCTAATCACATATACACATATATATATACTAGGTAAGTAGCTCCATTGATCATAACAAGTTTGTTATTATACTGACTGCCTGCCGCCTGATATGATCAAAGGTTACACCTGCTCAGCTATGAGCCATATGAAAAGCCCCAGTAGGCCTCTATTGGGCGTATCACTAAGCGCACTAAGAACAACACGTTGTTTATGGAAAAGTTATAAGAACTGATTGATAACCATACATGGGACCCAAGCAGCTCTATCTTAACATTTTGTGACACATACAAGTAGATCTTTTATTAGCGCTATGGAACAGCCCATTCAGAGATGATTGAAAATAAAGAAAGGAAAATTAAATTTGATTATAATTATTTAGACTAAGAACTTTCCAGACACATTTGAGAAGTATTATCAATGGATAGACTAGTAGTTTCTATATATCCGATAATATAAATATTCTAAGATGTTCATAACATCATGAAATGCACACGCTCGTATGTTATATAGATTCAGACAAAACTCTTGATTTGCAAATTACCATTTTATAAAAATGGTGAAATTGCGCATAGTAAAGGCATACAAAACAAAAAGCTTATCAGATGGCACGTGGAAACCTTGAGGTGAATTGTGGTCCAAACTATCTATAAACTATGAAAGAATATAAACAATATTAAAAGATCTCTCTCGCTCTCTCTCTCTCTCTCTATCTCTCTCTCTCTCTCTCTATCTCTCTCTCTATAAATATTAATCGCTTTTCTCCATATAAATCTATATAGATTTTTAAGATCCATAGATATTTACTTTCCCTCTCTCTGTCTCTCCTCTTTCATTCGTTTTTTTCTTTTTCTTTCTCTCTCAGTATGTCCTTCTTCTTATATATTCCCTCTCTCTCTTCTCTTCTTTCTTTCTATCCCTTCCATCTCATTCCCCTTCCATCTCTGTCTATGTATTTCCTACTCTATCCCTATAATATACGCTTTCTACATTTCTTTCCCCCTCTCTTATTCCTTCTCAATTTGGCTCTCTATGTCCCTGTCTCTAATCTAATGTTTATTATTATGAATTTTTTTTAATTTACTAATTAATCATTCATTTCTTGGATCTTCGTCTGGCCTAGCCTAACATGTTTCAAACCCTCGGCGTGATCCCCATTGCTGATTACCCGATTTCCTTTAGTCATAGTTTAATTAGTTGAGAGCGTGATAAGTAACTAAGTAAACATCAGATAGTGCGAAATATATTTTTAGTTTTGTCTAAATGATTTAATTTCAGGAATCTCGTATGCCAGATCCGAAAGCTTAGCTTCTATATTATAGCACACGTTGAATGAGTGCTTAGTTGAGCTTTAACTCGAATATGTACGTAGATTGAAATGAAGTATGGATGATTGAAACAAGATGATTAACTTATCAGCATGGTAATAGGTAGTACACACAATACATTGTTTGTTTGTCCTAGGCAGTATTGAAAGTGGGTCTTCAAATAGACGTATATATAAATATATGCACGTATGTATATGAATAGATGTCGGCCTAACTCTATAAAAATAGATGCAAAGACCTTAGGCAGCTGACGAGCACTGATGATAATGTTTATTTGAACTCTACTTTCTATGGAATTTGCACCCGCTTTTAGCAGGCGACAAGCTTGACACCGTCTTCAATTTCCTTATTCAACTGTCCAATCATATCCTCCAAGCGCTGCTCCTCCTCCTCATCCATTTCAGGTAGATCGAGATTCTTTTCAATGCCCTCGGGCCCCAGCAGCACGGGCGAGGCGAAGAACTCCGCCTCGGAGAGGTCCGACTGCACGTAGGCGCACTCGATGATATTCTCCTCATGGTTGATGGCCCTCAGCAGAGAGTTGACGAAGTGGGCGGCTGCATAGGCCATGGACAGAGTGGCGGAGCCCTTGCCCGCCTTTGCCTTGACCACCTCGGTGCCCGCGTCCTGTATGCGGCTAACCAGCTTGGCCTTCTCGGCGGAGTCGAGCTCCAGTTTGGGGTCGCACTGCGAGAGCAGCGGCAGAATCGTCTTTCCGGCATGACCCCCAATCACCGGAATGCTCACAGCCTGTGGATCGATGCCCAACAGCTCGGCTATGAAGGTCTTGGCACGCACCACATCCAGAGTGGTCACGCCGAAGAGACGCTTCGGATCGTACGCATCCTCCTGCTTGAGCACCTCCGCCACAATCGGCACAATGGTGTTGACGGGATTTGTGATGAACGCCAGCAGCGCCGTTGGACAGGCGTTGCTAACGGCTTTCGCCACAATTGACGCCACACTGGCATTCGCGTCCAGCAGCTCACTGCGATCCATGCCCGGCTTGCGCGGCATTCCGGCCGGCACCACGACAATCGAGGCGCACTCCAGTGCGCCGATCAGCTGCTTCTTGCCGAAGTAGGAGCGCACGGTGCTCGACGTGCAGATGTGCGAGAGATCGGCGGCGATGCCCTTCGTGTCGACCTTGTCGTACAGCGACAGCTCCGTGACCAGCGGATTCAGCTTCAGCATCAGCGACAGCGGCTGGCCAATGCCACCGGCAGCTCCAATGACGGCCACCTTGACGCCACGCCTGATGCCACAATTCCACAAATTCCACTTCAGCTGGCTGAGCGGAGATACGGCAGAGACATGCCTCATCAACTTAAGAGAAAACATCTTGGTTTGATTTGTGATATCTGCTTAATGTGAATGAACGTTTCAAACTTATATTCACTTTTAATTTTAAATAAATTCCATAGACACTTGACTCAAAGCCTATGTGATCAATGAATCCACGAGCTCAAGGATCCAGCATAAGGAAAGCATTCTAAAACATGCTAAACATCTATGTTGTTGCTGAAATGGGTTTTTCTAGAGACTTTGCCGTATTCACATGGGCTCATGCGCTGATAAGCAGGGCCCACAAGAGACTTTGCTATTTGAAATGAGATTAGTTTCATTTCTTTTGGGGGCTGGCGCAAAGTTTTGCTAAATCAGGTATATTCACTATCTGTGAATTGCTACATATTGATAATTCTCATGTTATTAATTCTATTATAAATTTTATGCCCTTTTAGCTATGCAAATAATTTATAATAAAGAAAAAAGTTTTATTCATATTAGAATATGAGCGATTTTAGTGGTTCCAACTAAGTTTGAGATACACATAATAATAATAATAATAATAATAATAATAATAGTAATAATAATAATAATAATAA